AAGAATATTCTCAACATTACCATATATGGGAATACAGTCTCCAACATTACCATATATGGGAGTACAGTCTCCAACATTACCATATATGGGAATACAGTCTCCAACATTACCATATATGGGAATACAGTCTCCAACATTACCATATAAGGGAATACAGTCTCCAACAGCTTCTACATGCAAAACAAGCGCTTTACAGATTGGCAAATTTGCTTATAAATTTTTTTACAGTTACAAGAAGAACGCATAAACCATCACCAATGAGCTTTTAAGATTTCTGCTGTTTTAGATATGAATAGTTCATGACTAGCATAAAGGCTAATATTTCCACTAATATCAGCCCACTGGACATCTCCGGCATCATCACCAGCATGCAGTTTAAATTTCCCAACACTAGTTCCTTTTGCATCATGGAAATTTACTGCTACCGTTTCCATCCAGGCATTGTCGGTATTTCGAGGATCATCAACATATCCTCTGTATACCTGAAAAAAAAAAAGTGCAGAGTTTCTTCTTGTTAGAAATCCATGAAAAAAATGACAGAGGTTTGAATTAAATTAAAAATCATTTGTCCTGATCGTCAGTTTTTTTATTATCATGGTTTATTCCATGGAAAACTAATTAAAGGATAACAAGAAGTGTGGTCACTAAAATGTTTTCAAGAAACAAAAATCAAGGGATGTGATGATTTCTTATGTGTAATTATTTTTTCATATCTAAATATTATTATTGATATAAATCCTGATATTGTCATAACGTTTAAAAAATTTAAATCTAATTTAGACTGATTCCAGTGTGATAATACATGTAGTTTAATTCTAAAAAGAAAATTCTAACTAACAATTGATTGCATATATGCTCACTAGCGAAGTATTTGAATTCGATGCAAACAGCCTCAAACTCAAACTGGAGGATTAAAGTTGAGTTCACAATTTAAGATTATCTAGAAATGTATGTATGAGCAGTCAAGACATGTGATAGATATGGCTCTGGTAAATCTCCTATGGCTATAGAAAGTTTGACATAAGTTCCAGTTCCATATTTTTGTAACTAAATTGGCCACCAGTCAGCCACCTAGAATTGTATTGTGAAATGAAAGCATGTGTGTATATATGTGACATGGTGAATTATGTATTGTTGAACATGATTGGTACAGAATTGTTCACTTTGACCCAGCTGACGGTTGCTTTATTCCACAAAAAAGTGTTTTTTTTTTTTTAAAAATGATAGAAACAAATCAGTTTTATTGATGTAGTCCTTGTTTGTATTATAGATGTGAGATATACATGTATAACCTGATGTTTGAGTATGTGTGAAGTTTTATTAAACTTGATTGGTCCAGGCATGTACATGTATGAGATACAGCTCTGTGGAACTGCATTGATTTGTTTGAACAAGATGGCCGCCATTCAGCCATTTTTAATTTAATTGTGACAAAAATTCATGTGTGAAGTTTAAACTGGATAGCTAAAGGCATGTTGAATATATAAATTTAGAACTGCATTCTTCAAAACAAAATGGCTGCCAGTTGGCCATCTTGAACCCACTATTTTTTTTCTACCCAACATTGAATGTTGGAATAAATAAAAGTTTCTGTGAGATTTTGAATGGTTTGAATAATACTTACTTCTGTACCACACCTAAATAAGTTAGCTACAGCTTTTTCTATTGTATTCCTTTCTTCTTCTGGGGCTTCCAACGAGTTCATTGCTTCCTCACCAAATTCCCGTTTTAGTGTGGCTGAAACTGTATCTCCAGCATCAACCATACCCTAAAATACAATAAAATAATCAACTCTCAACACAATAATTATACGCACTTAAATTTCGCAGACTGTTTTGTTTCATCATTACCCACATGTGTCATTCTAAACCACTAGATTATTAATCTTATTAACTGAGCAGGGTCTGGATTTTATTCACCATTACGCCACTTTTTTACAATTCTATGTAACTAGAATTACTAGATCATTAAACTACTAAGTAATCAGCGTCTAGTTTTTATTCAACATCAGACATATTTTCATAATATTATTTTTAGAACATTAACCATATTACTCAACCAGGATCTAGATTTCATTTAGCATTAGCCACATTTTCTACAATTCCATTAACACATCGTCTGGTAATGCCATTATATGTCTCGTACATCTTGGAATTCTCGTCCGACTTAACGTTCACGCTCAACTGTTAATCAAATTTATGTAATATTATTACATGAATACCAACTGCCGTGAGTACTCACACGACTGAACGTACATTCTAAATGTAGATCTGCTCGTACACCATTATACGATATAGTGACACGTCAAGGATTGTCGGTAGCAAATTTCAAACCATAAAAATAAACAGTCCAAGCAATTTCCTTCACGCATCACAACTATATAAGTAGGCATACTGACCAGTCGATTGGCACTGAATAGTTTTACACTCATTCCAATAATGAAAATGCCTATTAAAAATATTTTGACATTCTTATCATGAATGGCATATTTGAAGTAAAATTTTGTGAGCTAATTTGGGCTTCCAAAATGAGCTCTTTTTCTAGGACCAGGATCTTATAAAATTTATTCATTAGACACATGCAATTAATGTAATTAAATAGTATCATTCATCCAACTTGCTTGAAAAAATCAGCTGTACAATTTGGATGAGGAACAATAAGTATATAATCCAACGTACCCCTGGTATCGCCCAATCACCAGTGTCTTTCCTCTTAATAGCTACAAACTGAAGTATTTGTTTATTAGTTGTTTGGTTGCATATAACATCACCATTTGCATTCCTTTTCCACCTGACAAAAGAAGTAAACTCTGTAATCATACTGAAAATGTATAACCTTTTTACCACCAGTTCCCGTTTTCATCTCAAATTCACTTTCCTTCAAAACTATGGGGACAAAATTTTTTTTTATTAAAACTAAAAATTGATTCAAATTTTGTCTGTTGGCTCAAAAAACATGGTTCATTTCCAGATATATTGGAGAATATTTAAGAAAAATTTGGGTGAGAAAGTCTGGTGGTAAAAAGCTTAATCCCTTTGAATGCTATAATTTTTCACGCCAAAAATTGGTTGAACATTATTAGGTATTTTTTTTCTTGTATTTCTTTGTTAATTTTGGACCAAATAGACATAATAGACAATTTCTACAGGTCTTTATACAACATTTTGAAAAAAAAACACGAAAAAATGTTCGTGGGTTTAATTTTCGCTCAAAGGGTCAAAGAACTATATTTCCATGTGACGTATAATATGTGTGTAAATACAATGTAGTGTGATGTAATCAATGCATAAATTAAAAGGCACTCAAATAAGGAATTCAATGCTGCAAGAACATTGAAGTTCTTCTCAAAGCGACATGGGCAAAATTATGGAAGTGTGGCTCTTCAAATTCAGGATGCTATAACCACAGACAGTGGTAAATACAGAAAACTCTTTTTAGCCTTCGCAGACGAAGTCTGCCGAAGGCTTATAGATTGGGTTCTGTCCGTCCGTCCGTCCGTCCGTCCGTTCGTCTGTCTTTTACCTCTTATAACTTTGATATGCTCTGTCCAATTTTTTTCCAAGTTGGTGCAAATGTAATTCTCAATGCCATACATATGCACGCCAAGTATTTTTTTGATTCGCCAAAGTTTCATTGTGTTTTTCTGTGATTTTCAACATTTTACTAGTACAAATGCCGAAATTTGCCGGAAAAATCCGAGTTTTAACGACATCTCGCAAGAGAACTGGCATACCGTATTGCCCATGCGCCAGTCTAATCGCTGAGGAAATCGGCGTCGATTTCGTCTGAGGATATTGTATTCCGGGACTGTATCTTTCTTTGCACAAGGCTTATATAGATTAAATTCTATCTCAAAGGTAAGAAACTGTGCTTATGGTATTTATTATGAACTTTGATTTATCCTTTTGTGTCCTGACTTTAGTGAGAAACTAGCGATCACACAGTGTCACACTTTGCCAGAAAAACAGTCCTGCTATTAGTTCAATAACTGGTTATGAAACGTGTAAATCGAAAGTTTATCTTGTCATTTAGGAGGCTTG